TTTTTTGAGACAGAGTCTCACTATGTCACCCCTGGTAGAGTGCTGTGGCATCACAGCTCACAGCAACCTCAAACTCTTGTGTTTAAGCGATTCTCTTGCCTCAGCCTCCCAAGTAGCTGGGACTACAGGACCCCACCACAACGCCTGGCTATTTTTTTGTTGCATTTGTCATTGTTGTTTAGCTGGCCTAGGGTGGGTTCAAACCTGCCACCCTTAGTGTATGTGGCTGGTGCCTAGCCAGCCTATCTGGATTTTTTTATGTTTATTTTAACTAAGTAGATCAATCAGTATCAAGTTTCCTAGAATTTTACTAGGTGCTCTAGATAGGTGGCAAATACATATTTTACCAGTTCAATCATAATGGAATTGTTTTTATTTTTTTAGTTCTTAGAGACTTCATGGAGCTTCAGATGACTAGAATAGCCAAGATTGCTATTGCCAGCTTCCCCATCTCTATTTAGTCTCCTTTGCTTTTTGTCTTCTTTAGGTGCTATGTAATACAGCCATTTCCCCATGATTTTGCCATCGGTCCATTTATCAATGTACATCCTCACACAAGTGAAATTCCTATGGCTGCAACATCAAAGACTCCTATGCCCATATTCTTGGCCCTGACTTTCTCCCAAACACGAGGTCTCTATTTCAAACTATCTGATGGGTGTATCCACGTGGTGTCATTTGTCATGTAAAACTTAAGTCCAAAAGGAAATGCTTTCCTACCATATCACCCCCACCAACCCTCCACCATAGGCAGTCTGCCTCAGAAATTATACTCTTCAATTTCTCTAGTTATCTTTCCACCAAAAAAACTTAATTTCTGGCCTAAGTGCTTTCCTCATTTTTCATAATGTCCTTTAGCTTGCACAATAAAGCTTTTGACAGTTTGACCTCAATCTTCCTCTCCAGCCTCAGCAATAACCACTTTCCCCAAACTCTCTACACTGGAACCATTTCCTGAATATATCTTCTGGTTCTTTAACATGGCCATACTTTTGAACATGTCTTTCCTTTTCCATAGAATGTCTTCTATACCAAGATTTCATAAATGTTCTTGAAAATTAGAATCAGGTGGATTACTTGTAAGTAAATACAGCTGCCTATACCATTCCCCTAGTCTTATTTAGAGAGCATGGGATGATCCTGGGAATCTATATTTTTAACAAGTGTTCTCACATTCATTGTGTCATCAAGTATGTTATGAAATACTTTTCTTTCTTACTCTACCTTCAGAATGCAATTTTTTTTTATCCTCTTAATCTGGGAAGTCCTTCTGAATGCACAGGCAAAATTCAGTCCTCCAAGATAATCAGGCATCAGCTCCTATAACACTAGCAACGTACTTTTCTTACTAGGACTCACTAGGTCATATTCTAATTTGCCTGCCCTCCTGCCTAAAGTTTTCAGTGGCTTCTGTTAGCTATAATATAAAATCCGTACTCAACTCAATTCAGCAAATGTTTTGAGCATCTACTCCATATCAGACACTATGCTACATCTGCTACAGAGCTGAAGAACACATGGTCCCTGACCTCAAGGAGCTCACATAATCTAGGAAGGAATGTCTCTGCATTGAAAACCTTTCAAATCCTGGCCCAATATACATTTCTCTTACTATCTCTTAAAAGCTTTTTCACATTCTGTGTACTTTATATTGAATAATGAATGAAAAAAATCTTAATTCTCTTATGCACTGCACAACTTGAATTATCATGGGTTTCCTATGTATGTCCTTGGCTGCTTTACCTTTATCTTTGTGATAATCTTTCTGCCATGAAATGTACTTTTACCCATTTATACAAATCAAATTCCTCCCCAGCCATGAGTGTAAACATCAAATTTGATGTTCTCTCCAAGTCTTTCCTTCATTCCTCCCACTTTAAAGGAGTCATCCCTTCTTTTGAACTCCTATTGTATTTTATATGAACCTCTCTATTAAACTTAATTATTTCCAAATGTTATTATAATTATTTTGTGAATATTTCTCCCTTGCTAGGCTATAAGCACTCTGATGGTTAGATTGATGTTGTATTTGTTCCTATAATCCCCTCAACCTACTATGATGCTGTGGGACTTATCATAAACATTTGATATAGATCTGCAAAATAATTCACTGAAATTTAGATTTTTGCTTCATATTTGATGAAGGTAGAGTACAGCAGAACCTCCATAGTTGACCACCTCCTTAAGTTGATGTAATTCTCATTCATGGGTCATTATGAAAGTTGTGAGATACACAAAAATCCAGAAACATAAAATCCACATGGACTGAAACAAATGAAGCCTTCCCAGCAACAGTGAGATGCTGAGCAAGTAGAAACTTTCTTGGGTGAATGAGAATGGATGCTCTCAACTGTGTTTCTTGTAAGTAAAATTATGGACCATAACACAGTCTTGTCTCAAAACATTCATAGTGACCCAGGTAGACCAGACATGCACCACATGTATGTATCAGTGCAGTAGGCCTAGTTCCTTATGTTGTCCACATCTCTATGTTGACCAGTTTGTTACAGTTCCTTGGGTGGTCAACTTACAGAGTTCCTACTGTAATTTCCCCAAATTTTAGAAAGGAAAATGAACACAACCACCTGAAAGAGTAATGTTTCTACATACTAGGGGAATTATGAACACAGAAGAGATACACAAGAATGTTCAGAACAGCACTATTTGTTATAGTCCAAACAGAAAATAAAGCAAATGCCTACCAGTAGTAGAAAGGGTAAACAATTCATGGTATAGTCAACCAAGGTCATATTTTACCACAATGAAAATGAATTAACTACAGTTGTACACAAGAACATTGATGAAACTTGAAAATATAATACCATGTAGAAAAACAAAACCTGAAAGAATGCATACAATGTCATTCCATTTATGTAAAGTTCAAAAGAAGCATTACTAAATTATATTCTTTAGTGCTATACCTATAAAGAAAAATACATTGTGGTATACCTATAAAGAAAAATCAAGAAAGCAGACACTATGAAATACAGAAGTGTGAGTACCTGTGGCAGTGACGAAAGGAGCTTTTATTAGGAAGGCATACGTGAGACGGTAGTGGGTACCCTATTTTGTGATCTTGGTTGTGGTTCTATAGATGTCCATGGTATAACTGTTTGTAATTCTGTATTTATGTTTGTGCACTTTTCTACGTATTAGTTGTGTTTTACAATAGAAATGTTTCCTTAAGGTAATTTCTAGAGAATGGGAAATTATTTTAATTAAAAGTTTCACACTTAGGCAAGGAAGAATTACATATGTGACTCCACTTAATGCTATAACGATGCTACAAGGTCATTGATAACATGTATTTGGAGTACCAATATTATATTTTACTTTTTATATGATTACAATAGAAATGAACTCTGGCATGATTTTGCCAGTAATATCAAAAGATGTGGTTAAGAACAGAAACAGCACCTGTAGTTATCCTCAGTAACTAATCTTTATAAAAGAAATTGATAGCTTTATGATAACACTTAAATTTTCAAATTGAGTAAAAAATGCCTAATCTATTGTCATACATTTGAAATAATAAAAAACCTGATTTTTGAAATTCTGTATTATATGCAGAGTATTATTTACTATGTATTGTTATTATATGTAGGTTTTAAATCCCTTATGATCAAAATTTCCTTCTAAACACAATATTAATATATGTGGATAAAGGATACAATAGAAAATATCAGTTGTTAATTGAGGTTACTATTCCTAATAGGAATAGTAT